CTGAGAGGACAGGAACAAGAGAAATCAGTATCTCCTATATGAAAGTGAAGAGGCAGAATTAGTGCTGCTCTGTAACGCTAGCAGTGACTGAAAATAATTGAATTTGTAAAAAAAAGAAAAACACTTTTACCTGAGAAAACATTCACTGAATTTCTTACTGCTTGGTCAGAATCTGATATATCTATCTGTATAGAAGTGTGAGTATAGGTACCATTCTATGTAGGTACCGTTCAGTCCTGAATCTGAACAGATTCAAGGCTTACTGTTTAGTAAGTGTTCCTCCAAAAACTCACTATGTTTGTATTAATTGTTCTTCATGAGAAATGCCAACTACTCCAATGCAGTATTTAAGGCAGATCACTGGTAAACTAAACACTTCCTTCTTAAAGTTATTCCAAGATAAAAACAAAGCATCTTTAACTGTCAAATTTGCACAGACTTAGAAAGAATAAATAAAAAGCAAGTTAGAGCACTGTTATACAAGCACACATTTACCTACGCTCAAAAGTCAGCACAAGAATAGATCTACGCATGTTTGTGCCCACTTATAGTTTAAATTGGGTATTGCATATAAAATATATGTACTAAACTAAAATCACTATGAACAGATTAAAACCTATTTATTGGACTTTTCAATAATCCCAGCAACTTCAGCTACAATTGCCTTTAAGGTTACCAGAATTCAGTCCACAAATGTTAAAGTTTCTTCAATTCCATTTAAGCATTAACTATTGTAGCCTTGATCCTAATGATTCCTTTATTTCTATCTTTCACTCTTTAGGTCTCTTCTTTTTCTTCAACAAATACCATTAACCAGCTCCTATTTCCAAAAATTTACCCAGGAGTGCAAATATTCTAAATCTACTTCAGTCACTGGACTTGTCCCTGTTAATGCAAGCATTATCAGAAAATATTTGTTTGCTGAGCCCATACATCAATGTTCCAGTAAATATGAGCAATATTAACGGAGCTGTGAAGTCATAGGATGACTTCCAAAACAAAATTTACGTCAGACCAGAACCCCTTTTTCTCATGCTCCTGTCTCTGACAAAAGATGATGATGTTACTTGTACTCCCTGTGGCGAGCAGTCTACAGACCATGTTATCACCTGACCTGTCTCAGTCATGGTGAAGCCAAAAAAATGCCAAATGTGCAAACAATTACACAAACAGATCCTGAACTCTGGCTCTGGACAACATATTTACATGGATGTTGCTCCTGTCATTCTGAAATCCCACGTGAATGACCTGTAGCTCTAGCAGCAAAAATAAATGCTATTTCCACATCTGAGCATGTCCCTGGAGCACAGTCACTAAGGAAGAAGGGCTCTGCAGAAGCACTTCACATCAGTCCTTGTTACAGCAATACATTTCTTACTGCTGTCTGTGGCTCTAGTTTGGTTCTATTACTGTGGAATTGACAAACTTCTCAGCACCTACGATTCATGAGAGATTTCTTTCCCTAACCCCCTTTGCTCATTTTAAACTATTTTTTGATCAAAGCAAGCAAGTTGCAGAGAAACAAAAGTGCTGCTTTTCTGCTAGCTCCCATTTAAGTCAACTCAGCCTAAGCTGAAGCCACACTCCTCTCCCGCAGAAGAACCTGCAGCTGTTAAGAAAAAGCTGAAAGTTTCCAAATCACTTCTGTGGTTCCACTGCCTGCTTCTTGACACTGCCCTGACTGCTCCAAAGGCCTTAGCCTTTGTTTGTAAGGCTCTGTTTAGCCTTAGGATCATATTTAGTGATGGAAGAAAACATACTCACAAGGGGCCCAAACCTGAAACTTTTACTGAAGTTACTGAATTTACATAAATTAGTAATCTCTTTAGAAACCAATTGGATTAGCTCCATAATTGTGTAAAATATATTAAATATATTTTTATAGATGCACACAGTTTGTGTAACCTATCACACCTTCTTTCAGTCAGGGGAACTAGTCTAGCACAGGGCCACACACCAGCTAAGGATGCGATGAGGTATTCATAGCAACAGTCTTGATATTCTTGTCTCAACAGTGATGCAGTGATGTGCTGATGTGGCAGTGTAGTTAGTTGCTGGTGTATGGGGAGCAGCTAACTAACAACACACTGCCTAATCACCACACACAGCACTACGACCAACCTAATTCTGGAGAGTTTCACAACGTTGTTCCCATTTCTCTTCCTAGAAGGCCTTCATTTAGACGGTTTGCAAGGCACATTACTTGCTTTGTTTGAGTGTTCCTATAACAAAGAGTTTCTTTTGCATTCCATAAAGAGAAAGTGCAGAGATGAGGACAGAGGTAACGTTCTGATGCCTGTGGCAGTATGTTTGATAGAAGCTTACAGTGTAATATGAATCAAAAGGATCCATTTCCTTCCAGCCTCTAACCTGCCAAAGAATAATATATGTCCTATTCAAACTCCTGTTGTCTCCTGGTGAGAATATGTGCAGTTTTTTAGGGCATCCATGTTCACAAATTAAGCCATTAAGCAAGGGGAGAAAAAAAGCTTTAAAAATGACTTCTGTTTTATAGAATGGAAAGGTAATTATTGTTCAGTTACAGCCTTCAGGCAGTTAGTGAAATGTGATTTTAAGCCTTTCCAACTTCAAATTACTCAAAGCAAAAAAAAAAAAACATTTAATTAAATTTAAAAATTAAATAAATAATGTTTTTAATTGTTCTTTTAAGAAAACTTCCAGAGAAATTAAAGTGGTTTGATTTTTTTTTTCAAACCTGAAATAATTATTGAATTAATTACCTGCCTGTTTCAAGCATTTATAAACTTCCTACTACCTTGGTATATAAAAGCAGACACACACAAAAAAAAAAATCTAAACCAACCAAAAATTCTCTCAATTCTTTGGATAAGGGGAACACAACATACAACTATAATACTGAAAATGAGCCTGACAGTCAAAAAACAATAATAATCAAATGGATCCAAAAGTTTCCATATACAAAACTAGCAGCTCTCCAGTTTGATGCTAAAGGTATGTGTATCAGGATAGCAACTGCATGTTAGCTGATGTCAGAATTTCAACCAGCTAACATACACTGCCATCCCGTCACACACAGGTGCACCACCTCCCTTACTGGAAATTAGATTCAACATAAACAGCGATGGACTGGCCCTGCAGCTGGTGACAGTGCAGTAGTGACTGCTACACCCAAATACAGCAGCCACCGAACAACACACTGCCTACAAGCCACAGAGTTCATGCAGAGTGAGATTTCTCCTGAAATGCAAGTACCTGGAGACAACTACCTAAATTCAGCATTGTGTACCTCTTTCAAGTTTCATGTTTCATATACATATAAATACACATGTATGTATGTTCAAGCAGTAAATACTTACATACAATGGATGACACAGATAAGTTTCCGATTCAGTAAGACTTGAATTAAATTAATTGTACAAAACCCACGTGGAATGTGAGAAGTATCAGACTCCAGACTATCAAAAAGGAATGGGAAATTGTTGTAAACAATTTCTTGCCTTGCCTTGTACCAGCACCAGTGTAGTATGTTGTCTCCACAAGTAAATTAGTATCATACACACTTACTTCAGTCCTTTTCTTCCTTGAGCATCCGTATTGGTCATTGTGGGAGCCCAGGCCTGGGACTAGATGAGCCAGGAGTTTAACTCAGTGTAGCTGATTTTCTTATTTTGAAATACGAATCATTACTGATTACTTCATAGCACAAATTGACTTCAGGTGATGAGGCTCACTGTACCTCCCTTTACAGAAAGATGCATAAGGACTCTAAGATTCAAGCTCATGGATTTAGGCTGGATGGAGGTAAAATTTTATCTACAACATCCATTTTGAAAGAAAACCCTTTGAAGTCATGCTGAAGTCAGTCACTGAGTTAAATGTCTTGGATCAAAGCAAATTAGTACGAAAAATTAATACCAAATTTGAAGACTTCTCTTTGTTCTTAAAAGCAAGGCTTAGGTCACTGAAAATAAATCTCACCAACCCTGAATTCTCAGTACAAAACAAAACACTAAGACATTTACTTGTCAGAATGCTGCTGTTAGCAGCTACAGAGTAGTGTTGGCTAATTGCTTTCTGGTTTGTCCCACAGCAAGAGGAGGCCACCTCTGAGTTTTCCACGATGCTTGTGAATGCAACAATATGGAGTGCAGCTAGCAGCTGTTCACACCTCTGAGACAACAGCCAGCTAACAGGCACTGCCAGACTGCTACAATCCGCTGTTTTCGCCATTGGCTCCCCCTCAGCCCCCAGTCAAACCTTCTCCTAGAGCCCAGTCATTGCTCACATTAACTACACAGCTTTTCCTGTGGGGTTACTTACAGAACATTTTTATTTTGGAGTGACATTCTAAGCATGCTGGCGGCAAAATTTATTTTACTGTCACAACTATGGGTGCACTGCTTATCCCCTGCTTCGTCACTTCCAATACGGTCATTTCCCTTTACACCTTCACCCAGTCCATCACTTTATGCATTCCATTCTCACTAGGTTTTGCGATACTTGTCAAATCCATAAAGTGCAAGCTGCCTATTATTTTGCATTTTGCTTATTGTCAAGCATACAGTTCGTGAATATCATGTTTTTTACCTATGTACCTACCGTATACATGAGTTCTGTGTGGTCCTTTTTATCTTTACCACCCCCTAAATGTGGACAAGTCAGCTTGAAGTGCCAGTAAAAAGACAACAGAGTAAATCTGCAGAATCTCTTCAATCAAATCAGGCAGTGCTTGCTTTTGAACAGCAAGCAGTCCCCCTAGTGCCAAGAGAGAATCCCACGTGTTTCTGAATCCTTCCCTCAACAGATGTCACCATCATAACCTGCGTCTTTCAAACGCTTCAGATCTTGAAGTTAAGAAAGCGTGGTAAGGATTAACAGGAAAGGAAAATATGTCATTCCTTTTCTCAAAATCGCTGATTTTCCACAGCCTCCTCCTCCTTTCCCTCCCTCCACAATCAAAAAGAGCAACATTAGTGCAACACAGCCAGCGGGGAGCGAAGGTCTGTGCCTGCCCTTACCTCGGTCACCTGCTGCAGGCTTTGCTCTCTGCTCCGCTTCAGGTCTTTTCCGAGCGTCCCCATCACTTTCTCCTTCAAAGGAACAGAGGCACAACGCTTAACACAGACACCTAACTCAGCAGGGCCGCAGTTCCCTCACCCTGCATCGCCTGTGGCCAAGCCCAGACACTTGTCAGGCTTCACCACCCACGGAAGGGGCTGGTGGTGGCCATCCACCAGCTCCTTGGACATGACCGCCCCAGGCCACCAGTAGCCCCCCATGTCCCTACAGGGCACCCAGAACACAGTTACCCATAGCAAATCCTCATCCGTCCTCATCCTCCTCGCAGCAGATTTCTCTAATTTCCACTCCATCTCTGCCGGGCCCGCCTGAACCCGCCAGCTGGTGGCTGACACACAGGATGTGGGACAGCAGCGGTGTGGGGAAGGCACGCCGGGTGGCAACTTGTGGGCACCGCAACTTGTGGGGACGGCGACTTGTGGGCTCGGCGACTTGTGGGCACAACGACCTGCCTCCAAGCCTTAGGCCAGCCGTCCGGCAGCCTGGTCCTCCCGTCCATTTAAGCACAGGCCGGCGTCCCTCCCTGTCCCCACCCCGCCCTGCGCTGCCCGCCGGCGGGACGCGGCGCTCCCGGGCTGAGCGGCGGCGCCAAGGAGCGGCGGCGGCGGCGGGGAGAAGCGGGGCAGGGGCGGGAGGGCGGCCGCCACCCCGGGACGGGACCCGCTTAGGGCCCGCGGGGGGCTGAGGTTTTGTGGTGTGGCTCCCCAAAGCCGAAGCTGAGCGGAGGCTGAAGGGGCTGTAACGCGAAATCAGTTTGCTGTAATGTCAGAGATAGAAATCAGCGAGAAGCCGCGCAGGAGCGTGTTATCCCGGCAGGTGAGTTGCTGACTCACTTGTTTTAAGGTCACCCCTAGTCACTTAGTCACTCGTTTCATCCCCAACTACAGATTTGGTGGGAAAGATGTCAAACGTGTGTTTGCTGGAAGACAGGTTTAGTTAAATCCAAAGAAACAGGAGCAGGAAAAACAAAACAAAACAAGAGTTACCACTACATATATGTTCCATATGTTACCCCAAATAAGTTCAGAACAGTACTTTTTAAGCCTTTATAACATGTATGTATGAAATTTTGGAGCTAGGCCACTTGAGTTTTCAAAGCTGAGAGCCACACAGCATTGTAAAAGAGCCCGTTTTCCCCCATTCTAGCTTTGTGTCTTAGAATCAACATTAAAGGTGTTAATTTCTAAAGTGTGAAGTGCGATGCCAGTTACAGAAATGCAGTCAGTTTCCTTCTCTTACGGTTTCACTCTTTTCCCCCAGGAGAAGAGATTTTTCTGACTTCCCAGTTGGGAACGTCCTGTTTGACAAAAGAAGAGCTCTCCTGCAAAAATCTGCTCCTGTAAAGTCCCGTTTTCCCAGTCAGTTCAATTCCTACAGCTGCCTGTGTAACACCTGGGAAGGAGCATCATACAAGCACAATAACGGAGGGGAATATTTTTATTAATACCTATTAGTTCTAGGCAAATCTTAGATATCAGAGGTAGAGCTATTATGCCAAATCAATGTGAAATGTTCAAAAGCACTATTTTATTATCTCACTGTTTATTGGTAAGGACAGAGCTAAGGACACCCGGGCTACAAAGTGGCTGAGTCACTCAAGATCATTTTAATGCTTGCTGTGAAACAAACAATACACGTAGCACTGCAGGGCTTCCATCACAAAGGCTTGTTTGCAATGCTTCAGGTGTTCGTTTAACTGAACATGAACTCTTCCTACAAGAGTAATGTTCAACAAACATTGCCAGAGAGTTCCTCTGCACAGCCGCTGCCCAACAGCAGCTGCTGGCATGCACTGCAAAACCACCTCCTTTTAATACACAGTGAATCAGCAAGACTCAAACGAAGCGTATCAGTTACCTATTAGACCAGTGTCTGGGCCTCTGATGAAGCTTTTGCCTAGTGAAACTTACTGAGAAGCTTCTTTCAGATGGGCAAATCTGTAGCAATGCAATTTTACATGGGACTAATTTGTCTCGCACTGCAAGGAAAGGGTTTGCACTCTGAGAACTATATGGTCACAAACTGGAATAAAAGCCAGAAGTCTTTCAAAGCCAACAAACTTTTGTTTCAGCAAAGTAGAATTAGGATTAATCAAACTTCAGTGGAGAGAATGTTAAAAAATATTTCACAACATTTATCCAAAATAATTATTATAAAGCAGTTTTCCAGTTGTCATAGTCAAGTCCAATATGTTCCTAATTTTATTAAAAAGTGAGAGCTTTAACCTGATGGGAAAGTGTGTAATTCAGTTTTATAGAAACAGAAGTCCCTTGTTGAATATGATTCTGTTAACCCCACTTGCTGATGCTTTCAGTATGCTTTGTCCTGTGGAAGCAACTCTAAGTTCTGTTGAGAGCCTGTTTGTGTTCATCCCCTGCACACAGACCTGGTGAATGAATCACAGGCCAACACACACATAGGCCTTAGTCATTTTTTCTGTGCGTCATCTTTGTTACACCAGGCCTGAGTTTACTCATCTTGTAGCTCAAACTCTTCTCCTTGCAGCTTGAGAAAAATAAATGAGTTGCAGACGAAGGGCAGTGCACAAACTATTCCCAGCGGCTGAGTGACACCTGGTAACTTGTTAGGCCTCTTGATGATAATGTAGCTGCTACCTGAGAATCCAAGAGGGAAAAGAAGGTGAGATTAGCAGAGGAAGATGTTAAAGAATAAGTATGTGACCCACTGCAACTGGTTTTACAAGCAGTGTTTCCTGCCCGACAACCTTCAACTCGTCTATACAGATACTGTGAACAAATTTTAAGAAAAGATTTGGAGGTTTTTCTATAAAAGCTTCTGAACACTGATTAACAAGTAGAAAACACACCAAGATATTCTGTATTTGCTGGTAGCTTTAAAAGAACTAGATCCTGAAATAAGTTGATAGTAGAAAAAAATCCAAACATAAGCAGCAGTGCCATAGTGTGGCACATTCACACCTGCAATTGTGAATTGCTTTGTGTTTGTTAAAATTGATGTATTGGAATGTTGGGTAGGTTTTGTAACATGAAGGATATCCTTAAAACTCACTTCTTCACCTGAAGTGCCTGCCATTTAGGAAATGACGTGATAGGTGAGAGCTCTGTTGTCACCTAGGGACTTGACCTGAATTTTAAAAAACACAGTTTTGTTTTCAGACAGCTGTTCATAGCTGAGCATATAGCTTCTGAAGTGTTTCTAGCACTTCACTAAAGCTTCTTCAAAGTGAAATAGAAATATAGAATCATTAGGGTTAAAAAAGACCTCCAGGATCATCTGTTCCAACCATCCCCCTACCACCAATGTTGCCACTAAACCATGTCCCTAAGCACCACATCCAGCCTTTCCTTGAACACCCCCAGGGACGGTGACTCCACCACCTCCCTGGGCAACCCGTCCCAATGCCTGAATGTTCTTTCTGAGCAGAAATGTCTCCTCATTTCCAACCCAAATACCCCCTAGCACAGCTTGAGGCCATTCCCTCTAGTCCTATCTCTAGTTACCTGTGAGAAGAGGCCGACCCCCAGCTCCCCACACCTTCCTTTCAGGGAGCTGTAGAGAGCAATGAGGTCTCCCCTGAGCCTCCTTTTCTCCAGACCAAACACCCCGAGTGCCCTCAGCTGCTCCTCACAGGACTTGTGTTTTAGGCCCCTCACCAGCTTCGTAGCCCTGCTCTGGACACGCTTCAGGGCCTCAATGTCCTTCTTGTAGTGAGGGGCCCAAAACTGAACACAGCACTCGAGGTGCAGCCTCACCAGAGCAAAGTACGGGGGGACGATCACCTCCCTGGTTGTGGAAAGGTCATCATGATTAAATATCTTCATTTCACTGCAGACTCATTTTAGGCTCCACATTCTGGAACATAGGCAGACAATTGCTAAGTTATTTCACTTACATACTGGAAATGTAGATTTCCAGTGCTCAGTTTTGCAGTTCATTGTAAAAGCATTCCTTTCACAAACTGTGTAATTTGTCTCTGATGGCAGTAGATGGTGCTAATATGTTGCACTTGGTACATCCTTGAAAGAAAGGATCATGAAATCACCATCTCAATCACATAGTAATTTATGGTTTTTTCTCATCTTCTTATCCTTGAGGTGTCTGCATTCTAATTTGTCATCAGCATCAGCAGACTCAGAATTTACTGAGGTAAAATACCAGTTCACAGTTTGAAGGTGAGATGTGGACATCAATAGCAAGCTTCACATGGTTATCAGAGAATTAAGCAGTGGCTGAAACAAGACTTCAGGAAAAGTTGGATTCCTCGCACACAGACTGCTGACCAAGCAGCAGAGGTTCAGGTATCTCAGGATGTGGTAGTGAGGGTGCTCTTTGCCAAATGCTTGCTGACAAGAAGTGATGCTAGCCTATGCTGAGTTCTGACAACTAGAAAGATCACAAGAAGCAACTGAATCACAGAATATCCTGAGGTGGAAGGAACCCACAAGGATCACTGAGTCCAACTTCTGGCTCCACACAGGACTACCCAAACATCAGACCTTTTGTCTGAGGGCATTGTCCAAATGCTACTTGAACTCTGAAAAGGAGGCCTCAGCTTTGTCTGGATCTCACAGAGCAGAGGTCTTGAGATATGGGCATTTCTTATTTTTATATTTATATATATTTATTTATATTTATATTTATGTATATTTATTATTGTTTATTCACTGTTCTCTCTAATGTTCAGCCAGTGTCCCAGAAAGATCCCAGTCTTGTTGCCTGCTCAGTTATTTCAGTGCTGAGATACCTGTGAGTGGATTAGAGGAAGGGTTCTTACAGTGGTGCAGAGCAAACTCTAAAGACTGGCAGTAGTCATAGACAGTGGTTTCCATTTGCAAAAGGCACCTTTGACCCTCAGGTGTTTCTGACAGTTGTGGTAAGGAGAGAAAGGGTGGGGAAGGAAGGAATCAGGAAAGGGAAGGGATTTGCTTCAGTTCATGTGGCCATCATTCTCTTCCCATCATTTCACACTTCATGAGCAATCATTGTTTAGGTTCCAGTATGAAACGTTGTTGACTAGGCAACTGGAATATTCTGGCAGTGAACTCACAGCTTCGTTTTAGTGTACAAATCATGGGTTATTAAGATGGCCTTGAGAGTACAAGGGTGACAAAAGTTCCTGTTTCTTTGCTGGGGCTTACCTTAAGCCATGCACTTAACACCTCAGTCTGGTAGTTTGCTCATCAGACACTTCCTTTCACTTACCTTTGCCAGCACGGTGAAAGTGGATGGGAACATATGGAGAGAGAGCTCTGGAAATGACTGTCCACTGTGCCACCTCAGTCGACCCTTAACACCTCAGACACTGAGGAAAAATTCATCTCCTATGCAGACAAGCAAGAAAACAAATAGAACAATTCCTTATGTGCTGCAAGTGTGATGCATTTTCTGGATGACCTGACATGAGAACGATGGAGCACCATCTTTACATTCTTCTGTCCTTTGTGCATTTGTACCACATCTTCCCATTACTTGAACTTCTGTTATTTCCAGTGTTAAATTGAGTGATAAATACTAGCCTACTCAACAAGTGTGCATAAGTAGACTAAAGATCTCCTTAGTTCAAGGAGGAATTTGTGTCAGCTCTTAAGGGTTCTCATTGTATAAAAACAAGAAAAAATAAAAACAAGAAAACAAGTGTACCAAGTGATAACTGCTGAGAGGGAGGCATTTTAATAAACTGTTTGACTTCTAATGCAACATCCTGTTGACTTCCAGGATTGTTGCTTTTAATGTCACTTTTACCTTTCGTAAAACAATACATTTCACAATCAGTTCTTCAGTGTCAGAATATAGTAATTTCTTCTCTCTGTTCAGCTGGCAGATCAAGAGCTGTCTTTCTAGGTCATCCTTCTCTGTGCCTTCCTGCTAAGTTTCTCTCTTCAGTGTACACCCACTTTTTCTGTTTCTATGCACATTAAGAATCCGTTTTGGCAAGGCACTGCTACAAAGACTGCCTAAGGTAGGGCTCCCAGCACGGCAGAATCCCGCGCTTGCCCTGCGGGCTGCGCACAGCATACTGCAGTTTGTTTGCCTTGGCTGCACGCCAGCCCAACTACTGAACCTCTGTGTCTGTTGCCAGCTGCCAGCTGTGTGTCTAAATGGTATTTCGACCTGGAATCCAGACATTCTGGATTAACAAACTGCCAAAATGCTGCCAAGACACAGTTCTTTCCAAAGCTTCTCTAGCAACTTCTGTTGGTAGCACAGGACCTAGTCCATTACTGGTACCAAACCCCTGTAAGTCACAACAAAATTACATTACCTAAAAGCTAATTATGTGTTTGAATAATTATGGATTGCAATATCTCTGAGGCTTGAGGAACTTGTAGATAATTCTTCTCAGGTTATCTTCTGAGACAGGGCAACGTTTCTAATATCATTTCCTGTGTAAGGGCAATTAAATATACACACTTAAAAATGACTATCATCTCTCTTTGCAAACATGTTTCAGTTAAATCATTGCTGAGAGCTTCAGCTCCAACACCTGTGAATATCTGGCTACTTTTTTTTTTCAATCTCTTTTATTATGATGACTGAATTTACAAAGATCAAACTGAGGAATAGAAAGCCAGAGGTCAAAGTGATTTATTAATAATTGGCAACTTTAACATCAGTTTTGAAAGGGTGTGCTTATTCCCATTTGTGCCCTTGTTACCACTAGCTCGCTCATCTGATTTTCGGTAACATATGGGATATTGCTCTCTTAGAACTTTTTGAAAGCATGACTATTGAAGGAACATGGAAACCTGTATGGTCACATCTCATTTTCTAGTGCAGGGATGCATATTGACAAAAAAAGTGCTGATTACTGTCATTGTCAAACACTTTAAACTAAACTGATAAAAAAAAATAATAATAGTCTTCAGGGAAGTATATTTACAAGCCTTTAAAAAGATCTTTGTTTTGAAACATGGGCATTTACTGTTTATATTCAGTGAAGGTTAATGTACTACCATTGTGAAAAGGAGATGAGTGGTGAGCTTCTATTCCCTGAGGGACAGCTGTACCCTCTAAGGAACTGTCTGAGGACTCATTAGATTGGATCATAAACTCAAAACTGACTGTGCATTACAAATGAGCTATGAAGAAAACAATTCCATGGAAGTGAGATAAGTTAATGGAAGCAATTCTCCATCCAAAACTGAATTTATTTTGTTAACAAGAGAAATATTCCTGAAATTCTGTCACATCTCTATGCCACTTCACATGGAGAAAAGTCTCCAGCGTCCATTCAAGAAAACAGTATTCAGGGAATTCAGACAGCCTATATTGTAAGCTAAGTTTTAAATTACAATATATTTCACTGCTTCTGTTGTTGTCATTCACTTGTTTGCTTGTTTGTTTGCTAGCTTTGGTTGTTTTGGTTGGGTGGTTGGGTCTCTTTGAAGACAGTCAAGACACTGACCTTGCCTTACTATAGATGTTCATCTGTTTCAGCTCTTCCAGCTTTCTAAGCTTCCAAAACCCTTTCTTGATATTCAAGGTGTGGTTATAGGTAAAATATCTCTGTCCACCCACAATGTGTGAAATTCTCTCATTTCATAGTAGATACGAGCCCATTCTGGATCATCTTAGAGGGCCTGTTTTCTCCAGTTCTGCAAAGACGTCAGTACTGCTGGATTCCTGAGCCCATTCAAAGAGCCTCTGAGATAAAGGAGGTGTATGAATTTTGCCAGGAAAAACAAACTGGCTAACAAAAGAAGAGAGGAACACAACACCAAAGTACGTACAAATTGAGCTATATTGGGGGCTATCAGACAGACAAGATGATAGAAATGATAGAAAACATTTATCAATAAATGTACTTGCAGCTGCATGTATTATCAGTAACACCTTTCACACAAGCAACCTACTGTAAGAGGTTCATCTATTTTTAGCCTCATCTTTTCCTTTCTTCTTCAGTTTCCTAAACACACTTGTTCTGCACTGCACGCCCCTGGATATCCTGGAGCACATGCTGCCCACTACTGTGATATGTGATAACTCTACTTAGAGTTCTGAAGAATCCTTTATAGACTTGCTGGTTACATGTCTCTTACCACCTGTGCAGTCATCTGTAGGAAACCAATGATTGCAACCAAAATGATAGGATTTTCCTAAGAGCAGAAATAACTGATTCAGGCTTTAAGATCCCTGGTACATCACAGGTTAGATAGGGCCTTTGTAGCATTGTTTACCTCTCACTACTCAAAAGGATGCAAAATGCCCCAAGGATGTAAACAACAAAATGAAATGTGTTAGAAAGCTTCCTTCATCTATTTATTTCTACCTGAGAACAGTCCGAGTTAGAGAATAACAAAAAATACTGCTTTGTTGCTGTACAGTGGGATGCATTAAGCATAGAGGGGCTAACCCACTGTACAATTTATTTCCATTAGAGAATGACAATATAGACCGGTTTCAAGGGAAAACTTGTCAAGTCATGTAATGTTTTCAGGCATTCAGCATCGGTCTATATTAATAAACAGTCCTATGAACTCTTCGCAGGATTGATGTGAAGTTAGAAGCACCAATGCTTGAAGCAGAGAACTGATCTGCTCATTTTGAGTTAGAGTGATATTTTTCTGTGAATGTTATAATTTGTTTTTTCCTGCCAGCACCAAACGACCATCCACTGAGACATCTGAACAGCTACAGACCACTCCTGCCAGCACAGAGCCCAGGTGGGGACAGTGCTTGACTTTCTGCCCTGCGCTGAGTACACACAGCGACATGCACTGGGATCACCTACACAGGGCCAGAGGGAGAAAGAGGAGCACCTCAGAGGAGATACAAGGCCAAGAAATTCCCCATGCTAAGCTGCCTGAGGGGTGCATTAAGCACAGGAGGCTAACCCAGCATTGCAACACCAACCTGCATCCACCTCTGAATTCGTAAGATGAAGATCCAGGACCCTTCCTGAGGTTTCTTCCAGCTGCTCTTTGAAAAGGCTGAGAAAGACTTGCTGTTTCTTGTTTTAGCACACTCAGGTTAGTGCTGCTTTCCACTACCTACATTTTATACAGGAGCCTGTTAAAGCAATTCCCCCAGGAAAATGGGGAGATTTAGGTCCTGCACCCTAAACTGATGCTAAGAGATGCCTCAGCCCCGCTGCCCTGATGAGTGTTTAACCTTGCCTGTGGGGGCTGGTTCCTGCTGCAGGAATGTGGGATGTCTTCCTGTCCCCAGGGACATAATCAGTGCTTAGTTTTACCCAAACTAGGTACAAAGCAAAACTATGCCCCTGTGCAACCCTGATGCTTTGATTCTGGTTGTTAGCTCTGTCGTTATGTTTTGGAGCATGGATGTCTGTGGTCTGACCTCTTTACCAGTGGAGCTGTGAAAGCAGGAATGCTGGCCCTCAGTTGCCAAATGGTCTTTCATGAAGCAGTTTCATCCATTTACTATTACCTGCAGCCCTCTGAATGGTGGTTGCTTCATGACACACTGTTGGGTTCTTGCAGTTTGTTCATCAATTCTTGCTCATTAGACCCACTGATTCTTCAGAACATGCATTTTTGAAATGAAACTCCTATTGTCCCGAGCAGATTTGTTTCTGCTTTGTGCCTGCTCCCTTTTTGTTTTAATTCTCTCAGCAAGTTCCTTCTTTCCAGCCTGGATGATTTCCCCTCTGATCGATTGTGATCTGAAAATAGTCCATTGTGTAACCTAAAAGTCCCATTATTAACGAATATTTGGTAAATGTGGTACGGTCTGGCTGATTGCAATATTCTTTGCTGGCATAAATTGGATATGAGCTGGAGTAAAATCTATTTACAACAATGGAGAACTTTGCTTTCTGCACTAACATTTCACAAGTTTATAAGGTTATGTGGTCACCCTCAATGAGACCTTCTGGTTAAAAAAAAAAAAAAAAAAGTGTCGTTGAAATACAAATACAGCTCGTAGATTTAGACATAGATTTAGATAATTAGATACCTGCAAGTTAGACTCTGACACAATTCTTTTGATATCAAAAGCAGTTGAAACAGATTCCATGGAGGCAAAGTATCAACATCTGTAGCAGCAGCAGAAGTAGCTGCCAGCCAGGCATTTGTGCAAAGATGGTGATCAGACGTATGGCAGCGTTTCCATAATGGGTTTGACATTGTTTATGTCAAATTAGGAGTTCCTAGTCTAGGACACAGCTGCACAGGATCCTTGGGGATTTTTATGAAAGAGGATAGTCCTCCAGAGAAAAATATATATAAAATAAAATAAAATAAAATAAAATAAAATAAAATAAAATAAAATAAAATAAAATAAAATAAAATAAAATAAAATAAAATAAAATAAAATAAAATAAAATAAAATAAAATAAAATAAAATAAATAAAAAACACAGTGCTAAAGCCACCATCTCTATCATTATCTGGTGCCCTCTTTGGAGACATGAGCAGAGATTATCACATCTAACCTCAGGCAATTTCTTTAGAAATATGTGGTGTGCAGTAGTCTTCTAAAGCAGCAAATAAAGTTACTGCCTCTATGTACTATAATGAAAATTCAATTTTGTATTACCTACTTCTAATTTGTCCCTAACCTTTGCCTTCACCTTTTTTGCCTTGGCTGTAAATACTGCTGCTATATTTCTTGCTTAGTGTGTGTCATCTCCCTCTGCTTGTTCTTAATGCTTGTTCTATGAATTTAGTGTTTTCTCATTGAAAAATCTCGACTGTGAGCATTAAAAAGCAGTGTAAATCCCTCAGTTCTGTTCTTCACATACTGTTTTGTTTCAGTATTGATATTCACTGAAGAACTTTTGCTTGTGGTCATAATCATTTCTAAATCAAGGCCATGTGTATTTACTGCAATGTAAACATAATTGACAAACACTCATTATCTTTAAATTATGACCCACTTGCTAATTTGCACTGTACTGAATGCTGGTAAAATGCCCCCGTTGTTACACGGGTATGTTTGCCTTGCCATAAAACATACTTGGAAGTGTTTCAATTAAAAACAAAGTGATTTGATTAGCCTATGGGGCAATTTTCAAAAGCATCTGGCACTCCTAATATTCATTAGACTCATTGACTCTTCCCATGTGTTGCTGAAGACTTGGAAGAAGTCCCCGTGATACAGAAAGCCTTAGTGGCTGATCTGGAAGAAGAACATGGGCAATGCCACAGATGCCAACAGAGTTCTGCTTTTTTACACCCAAATCTTTTTCTGTAATAGCAGGTAGATGTATACCAAATGTCAAGTAACAAAAGCCCAGTTTTGTTGCCTCCACCAGTTCATGGAGACTTGATTTATCAGTAAAACTGAAGAAAACAGCCTGGTATACTTGAGCAGTTCATGCCTTCCCACCTGTGTAGCCTGATTCAAAGGCCACAGAAGGGAGTGACTGTCCCATTTATTTCTTTGAAGGGGTTGTGGCAACTATGAACAAGCCAGGAAAAATATTAAAGAACATTCAAAGAGATTCAAGAGGACCATGGGGATTTCCAACTTGATATCTTAGTGACTAATGAGGAAACAAACAATTGGGACATTAATTATTTCATAATCTTCAAACTTAACTTCAGATGCTGAATGTGTGCTAAAGTAAGTTAAAGAATTTGTGTAGCATATGTAGCAAACTTGCTTGTTTGCCTTTGGGGAAATTGGGAAAAGCCTTTCTAAATACCCACATCTTTAATTCTTCTTACCCAGTTGTTTGTTGAACCTTTCTGTGAGAGGTTGGTTGGAATTGGGGCTCTTTGCACTAATGGCTTAGAGAGGAAGTAGTACAAAAACAATTTGATAAGGAAAAAGTTCACATGTAATACGCTTAGTTGCATTAATACCATTTTTTTTTCTTTTAAATAACTATCCATGAAGTTCTGTGACTTTTCTGCCACCAAACGGAGCATAAAAATGAGCCAAAAGGATGGACGCTTTCAAAAAGTGCCTTTGGGAAGAGACTGAGCTTATAGAACATGCAGCAAAACAGGACTCTGCCTTTGTGGCTCAGGGCACTTTTGACTCAAGGCAAGTAGAGAAGCATACTTTTAAAAAGGAGGAAGATGGGGAAGAATAAATACATTACTGAGAATTTTTTGGTTTCACTTAAAATGAATTTACATATAAACAGACGAGCAGTATGTATTTCTGTATGTATTTCATGTATTTTGCAGCTGATGACTTGATAAACTAAATTAAAACTTAGCTCCTGGTGCTGTGTTCACATAATTCGATGTAAATAAAACTGCAGCTCTCTGTCTAAGCTGTTGCACATCATCCACCATCCATCATAATCTAGGAGGTCTCAGAAATGACCATTATGCTCCTATCACCTCTCCTCTTACTGAGAAGAGACAAGTTTGAATCCTTTATCCTCACCAGAGCACAGCTTGCCAGCCTGCAAGTCTGAGCAAAGGGAGAGTGGCCACACTCAGGAAACACTTGCTCTTTTACCACTTAAACATAGTGTCCAGTTTGCCTCTACTGATGATTTTGTCCTCATGGATCCTCCATCAGTGGGCTGACAGTTTCATTGCTCCACTAGAAAGCAGTTTTCAAGGGAAACTATGACTGCAGACAGAGAAACGGGTAATGGGTAATGAAGACTATCTCTAATCTGTCTTTCTAACTCAGGAAAGGCTGCATGTACAATGGAAATCCTGTGCAGAGAAATGCACAAGGAGAATTGTTGGTTGCATTTTTTTGCTCAAACTAAATCATTTCCAAAATTACAGTAAATGGACCTGAAGTTACAAAAGCAGATAGCAGATGTGCAGTGAGGAGCAGTGGTTTGTGGTTTCTTGCTTTTTGTTCTTCCAAACCCAAAACAAGCACACTGGATTTTCAGGAGCAGTTTGTAATCTGGTAGATCACAGGGCTGCAGTCCAGCCTAAGGTAAGAAAAGGAGCAGTGTACATGGATAAACACTGTGATTCGCCCATTTTTCTAACATCTTTGAAGTTTCATATTTTCCATTTCGCAAAATTTTTAATGGCACAAATCCAAACAGAATAGAGAGCCCTTTTACATTTTCTTTGCATTTTTGAAGTGCTCAGGTTTGATCCAGGAAGAAAATCATACACAGGTGAGATGAACTTTGCTTATCTATTAACACCACACATGCTTAGCTGCAGTTCAAACCTTATAACTTTCATTAAGTGACTGTCTCTTGTTGGACATGTGTTCAAATGCCTTCATAGGATCCCAGAGTCAATGTTGAAACTGCTGACTAAAACTAGTGTAACAATAAACTGAGGTGTGTCTTTGGTACAATAAACAGATTAATCTGGCTAAATCTTTCATTAACATGGAAAGAGTTTAGGATAGTAACATAATTTATATTTTTTTGCTTTGTTTAAACAGCTGTATACTGTTAGCAAATTATAAAGAATACTTTTTGTACTGAGGTTTAATTTTGGCATGCTAGATATCCTTTCTTAAAGTAAAATAAATAAATCAATTTTAAAAAATCACCTTACATAATCTTAATAATTATTAATATATCTTTAAAAGGTTTGACCACTTGAAACTACAGCTCAGTCATCTGCTGTAGACGCTCAAAGGATTATTGACAGTAGTAGAAATTGAAGATCTTCCCTTGTCAGCTCCACCTCAGCTAAAAGAAGGCGAATCAGGGAGAATGAATTTGCTTGTTCATGCTGTATTTGTTACCAGGATTGTAGACAATGGAGCATGAACAAAAAAAAATATTCCAAAAGGAGCTATGATTCAGAGTTGAATTGTTTGGATAACATCCAGTGGTAAGTAACACAGGGAATCCAGTATTTCATAGCACCTGCTAAACAAATAAGTGTAAATGATAATAATTCTTCTATTTCTGGGCATCAAAAAAAAAAAGTTTCTGGGCAGCTTTTTGCTGATGACGTATTCATAAACTCAGTCCTTTTTTTCTAAGTCAAGGTTGTGTAAGAGTTCACACAAAAGCAACAAAAGCAGCAGCACAGTGTTTATGAATGTTTTCCACGGGTCATGGTTATTCTTGTAGGTGTTGATTTTGGCCTTAACCCAGAACCCCAAAATGAGTCACAAAACCATTTAATTTTGAGGATGTTGAATCCATTCCTGACAGGGAATTCTACTTACAGCAAATATTTAAGGTAAAACAAATACCTAGCTGCAGATCCTGATTCCATCTGCTCTGAGATTTGTTAACATTTAAATGGGATTTTTCTGTGACATGTGAAGAAGCAGACATGCTGTCCTAGTTGATCTTTTTGAAACGTAGCGCAGTACTTCAGAGGCTAAAGCAAGTGTTATAATCGCCTACTGCCTCGGTTTTAATGCCATACATACTGAAAACAACAGAAAGCTTTACTGTTTGTAGATATTCCACTCATTTTTGTTTTCCTCTTCACTTTCCTTCTTCCATCAGCTGGCCCCCCACCACACTGAGGCTGTGGCAGGAGGGTGCAGGAGCTGAACGTGGGGTTACGGTGTCTGAACACGACTCTTCTGGTGCTAGCCTGTGTCCTGGTGGAAGAACAAGGTGAGATGGGATGACCAGAGAGGCAGAGGTGGCTACCTGAGACTACTCGTTAGCTCACAGGGACTGAAGGCCTAGAAAAAAAGGGAGAAACTTTGCCACAATGGATGGCAAGCAAAATACATGAGAAACTCTTCAACTCACCTTCCTGGTATCCTGCGTTCAGAAAATGTTTCTACAGGGCTTCTCTCCGGTGCTGTGATGCCACGCTTCTGCCCCAGCCTGTGAGCATAGGGCCCTGCAGAAAAGGAATGGCCATCACATTTGGTTAAAGGAGGAAAGTGTCTAGCAGGTCTCCGTCTACCTTTCCTCAGCGCTATCATAAATGGGAACTCACACCATGTCTGGGACAACTTGGGTTTCGGGGCAAATCCTCAAGCTTTAGCCATCTGTGCTGCAAAGCACTGACAAAAGGGCTGCTGTGCGGTGCTAACCAGCTCTGCTTAGAAAAGAGGATGTTTCTCTGTTCAAGGATATTAAAGAGAGAGGATTCAGTCACAGTAAATGCCTTCCAAGAGAATCAGCCTGCAGATTTCCAGCTTCCCTGTTTCAGCAAGCTACCCAGGCAAGAGATCCCGAGGCTTTACCAAGAGTGATCACCACGTGTGAATAAACCTGAAGACACTTCTTAATTTTATTTTCATAGTGTTTCCTTGAAAAGTATAAAGTAAATATTGAAAATAAATAGTCACTTGCTATCAAAGTTTGAACAGGTGCTGGATGTGAAGCAGACTGTAAGACTGCTTCTAAAACACCTATGAAACAGCTGTGCCAAAGCAAACCACAGCCTCTTCTGACCTCACTAGCTTTATTTTTTTTGTTAAGACTGTACAATGCAAAATGTAAATAATGGCCACTGACCAGAAATTAATGTTTAGAAAAGATGAGGAGGGCTGTGGCTGTCATATAAAACTGACTGCAAAATACTTGTCTTCTCCCTCAAGTTAGATATAGTCGTAACTGTCTTTATAAAAATATTCAGGAAAGCAAGGTTAGAAGTGTCAGTAAAATTCCATTTCCACAATCACTGGACAGAAGAGCCAAGCCCAACAGTGTTGGCTCACTCCTAGTGCCGTAGCACCATAGCTGCATTGCGACCTGGCCTCTACAAGACTACAAAGCCTCCATGCCACCCACCAACATCCAGGGGCTGTGGAAAACCCATGGGAGCACCTGGTGAATATTTCTGTGGAACTCAGCTCCGTATGAATGATGGTTGTAGGAATATGTGTGCTTCAGAAATGGTAGCCAGCCTAATTAAATGAATTGTAGAATGGTTTGGGTTGGAAGGGACCTGAAAGACCACCCATTTCCACCCCTCTGCCATGGGCAGGGACACCTCTCACCAGACCAGGTTGCCCAAAGCCCCATCCAGCCTGGCTTTGAGCACCTCCCGGGATGGGGCAGCCACAGCTTCTCTGGGCAGCCTGTGCTACTCTGAGTGAAGAATTTCACTACTCTGAGTGAAGAATTTCTTCTCAGTAATGATTCTGTGGTTATGTGTAAGTTCACACCAAAGAAGGTGCATTTTTATTCCAAATGTCTGGAGAATATCTAAGCTTTGTGGACAGGCAATGCTTCATCCGTAGGACACATTGAATGACCTCAGCAACCCTCCAGGAAAGTGCTATGCTGATATCTAGCCTTTGGGCTAGACAAAGAAGCAGGCAATATTGCCAACAAAAACTGCTTTCACAAATTATAATTATACCAGAAGCACTATGCCTTTTCTAAATACATCTAGTCAGGTCTCCTTTTCCTTTGCTATCTTGAAGCTACCTAAAATTTTTGACCTGTCATGCACCTATTTACTAAAAGAGAGTTCCTCTTTCTAGTATTTCTTTTTTATCAAGCTGTATGTAGAGATTTGGTGCCATGTTTTAGTTTACTCCTAAACATTTTTATCCAATGAAAAGCGGAAGTGTCCAGAACAAGGCTTACGTGGACTTGTCTTAAACTCAAGACACAGTCCTTAAAACTGTTCTCTGACACTGCCCCCAAATTAAAAGTTGTTCTCAAATTAAAATCTTCTCCTCAAAGTGTCCCCAGGTGTCCTCAGCTCTGCACCACCACACTGCATGGATGATGCACCTCCCTGGAGGGCATGAGGAAAGGAGAATGAAGCCAAACCACATATCCATGTGCTGTTCGGTGCACCATGTCTGCATTTAGTATCCTTGCCCCATGCATTGCGGCACATATCCTACCCCATGCACTAAAGCTAGATCTCGTTGGGCATGAGGGTTCCTAAGTATATGTGAGTCTATGCCCAGAGGTGGTGGCCTCCCAGCTTCTCTGGGGAATTGAGGCACAGCAGGAGCACGTGGGAAGGGGCTGAGCTCCATCCCCTCTCCCCAAACCAGCTCCCACCTGATGGGAAGGCAGAGTGCAGGTAAAGTCATGTGGAGCTGCTTTCACCCGTGCGAGAGGCTTGGGCACTTATTTTGGAGTTCCTGTATAGGAGCAGATGGGTAGGTGTGAATGTAAAATAACACCTTGGTGTTTTAACAAGGAAAAGTTGATATTTTAACACAAATATGTTGTGGTGTTGCATACTACATGATGTTACATACCAAACACCTCCTCCTTTTCCCCATTATTTGTCTGATGATGCTCCCGAGTCTCAGTGAGAAACCCTTTGGCCTCATTAGCCAATTAGCATCCTGTCTGACTAACAAGGATGAAGATAAAACCAGCCAAATGACACCTATGATCATTTTATATTACTGCTCGGAATTAGTCCAGAATATCTTTAACATGGAAGCACTGCAAATAAACGTAGCCAGCAGAAACTTTTAACAGGTTAACTGCAATAATAAGAGAGTAAGCATGTCCCTGTAATTCTCAAAAGATGAAACAGCAGCAAAAACAATGCTAGCAATGATCAGTGATTGTTTTTGCATCCTACTAGAATTGTGCAGTTCTCGTGTGTCACTATTTCTGAAGAATTAACATACTTACGAGAATTATGAAGTTGCTTGCACTACAGATGTTGAGTTTAACTTCCTAAAACACGTGGAGAAGAGCTGTACATTTCCATACAAGCTGCCTTATGTTACCAGTTTAGTCCCTGATAAATTTAATGCAGCCTGGTGCAGGTTTTTCCTCTCCTGTCTGCTGCTTTCACGCAGCATTTCTGCCAGCGTGGCAAAGGTCTTCTGCAAAATGAATAGCTCTGGATTTGTCCCAGGGTGAGCCTCAGCATGCCTCACCAGCACCATCCCTGCTAGAAGGTGCCACGGCTGCAGGCGGGGAGGACCACAGCTAGTGCTGGACCCCAGATGTGAAGGATCCCAGGTGTGAGGGGCCAAAAATACAAAGGACCACAGGCACTCAGCCGTTTGCAGTTTCCTAGGAGCCACGTACCAACATATCGTGCTGACAAGAGGAGCCATTCCCCATCCTACTGCTGCCTCTGCTTGCCAGAAGCACAGCACTGAGGATGGGGTCACAGCTGCCCTAAGAAACCTCCCACTGAGGCCATGGCACGGTGCTTGCACCTTAACTGACACACACACGGGTGTGGAAATAATGGTTTGCTGTTAATGTGCATGGGCCTGTACAAGAATACTGGGAAATCTGAGGATTGAAAAGGGGGAAAATTGGTCTTTTCACAGGTACCAGGTCTCCTTCCAGGGCAGAGCACAATGCCTTCATTCATTGATGTGCTGCAGAAGACACCTCTGGCAGCATTTCACACGTGGCATTGGTGTCTCAACTTTCGAGGCAGTGGGTGTGAGTGAAATGTGTCTGCCTAGAAAGCCTTTAATTAATGTAATCCACTCTTCTCTTTGCTTGAGATAACATCACTGCACAGTAACAGCAGCGTGTTGCACTGTAAAGTTTCCTGCTTGAGCACATTGAGCAAGGAAAGGTTTGCACAGACACTCAGCTTTCTGCTGGTTTTGCTCCGATGAAAGCACACATCCATACCTGGTGCAGAACGCTGTGCTTGCATTACACCAGTACAAACCAGTGGTCATTTTATGCACGATTTAATCATCACACTGAGTGCACATACACATCGACAGCAGCACACATGACTGACACACGTGCAGCTTGTAAACACTGTGGGTTTAACCACCACGACTGGGAGGCCGTGCTCGTTCCGACACAGCCGCCCAGGATCCCCATTCTCTTGCAGTTCAAGTTTCCACTGAGAGTTTTCTTTCCCGGCTGCAGCCCGGTGAGCAAGCCGGGCAGGATCTCGTGTGAAGGTGGCTCTGAATTCACCGTGCTCCTCAGCAAGCCACCAGTGGCGGGTCCCCAGCCGCAAAATCTCCATCCTCCCTAACACCCTGCGCTCGGTGCGAGGATGTGCAGAGCCTTCCCCTCCGCTTCCCCAGCCGGGAGAAGACCCTTTGCAATGCCTCCAGCACCGGTGAGACGAAATAAAAATAATAATAAAAATATTAAAAATTTAAAAAAAGCCTTCGTGCGCCATCCCGGGAGGAAACCACCCGGCTCAGCGCGGCACCCATCGGAAGCGGTACCCTCCGGCGGCCGTGCGCAGGGTGAAGGCGTTTCCCTGCGGGAAGGACAGCGTGCGGATGCCGCCCTCCTCCCCGAGGGCTGCCCGCAGGCTGCCGGCCCCCGGCAGCTCCCCCCGGCCGCCGTCGGAGGGGCGCGGAGGGGCGCGGGCGGGGCGCAGCCCGCGGAAGGCGCCGTGCAGGCGGGGCCGCTTGGCCGGGGGGCTCCCCGCCAGGCTGCGCAGCGCGGCGCGGCACTGCTCCGACACCGAGCGCAGCATCGGGCCCACCCCCGCCGCCCCCTCGCTGCCGGCGGCGGGATGAGGAGGAGGAGAAGGAAGAAGAGGAGGAGGAGGAAGGGCCGCCCCGTCGGGGCACTGCGGGAGCATCAGCTTCTGCCGGGGAGAGAAAGAGACGGCGCGGCTTCAGGGGGCTGCCCCGCTCCGCCGCCACCCTGCTCGGCCCCGACGCCCCCCCCCAGCACGGCCCCGACCCGGCTCCCCCCCCGGCCCCGCGGCGGCAGCACTCACGTCGAGGACGGCGGCCAGCTGCCGGGCCTGGCTCGCCAGCTCCTTCAGCTGCACGTTGCTCTCCCGCAGCGTCGCCAGCTCCTCCTGCCTCTGCGCCAGGGTCTCCTGCAGCTGCGGGCACAAGATGGGGACACCCCGCTCGGGGCGCCGTGCAGCCTCCCCGTCGGGGGGACAAAGGGCAGGGAAAGCCCCCTGGGCCCTACCTGGCTGTTCTCCTCCAGAGCCTCCCCCAGCGCCCGCTGGTGCCGCTCGGCCGCGTCCTGCCAGCACGGCTCGGGGGGCTCCGGGCACGTCGGGGGGCACCGCGGCGCCGCCCCGATCCCCATCTGCGGGGCGCAGGGGCCGCACGTCGCCTCCTCGCCCAGGGACAGGTCGAAGTCGGGGCAGTCCAGCGGCGGCGGCATCAGGGCGGAGGCTTCCAGGGGGAAAACCCGAGGGTGTTAGCGCGGGGAAGGTGGTCCCGGCCCGCTTCGCCCCGATCCCACCGCGCCCTCCCCGTCCCGAGCATCTCCCTCCATCTCTGTGTCTCCAAAGCACTTCTGAGCCACGGCGGGCGCTGAACCCGCTAGGATTTCGCTGCCACCCCCGCGGCGACAGCACAGGTGTGACACCCCCCCCCCCCGGCCAGGGCCGGATGAGCGTGCACCCAAAAATCAGATACACCAAAAGCAGGAGGAGACCGAGCGTGGGGGACGGGAAGGGAACATGCCCAGATGTGCGCATCCCAGATGAGTTAAAACCAGCCACTTGCCAGATATGAAATCGTCGACGGCATCTCGGAGCTCCTGGAAGTCAAACTCGGGCTCATCCCTCAGCAGCAGCCCCTGGGGTGCAAAAGAGACGTGAGCAGGGCCGGGGCTGTCCCCGCAGCGCTCCCGCACCGACGGCTGCCCCGGCCCCGGGGGCCCTGCGGTGCTGCCCCGCGACCCCTGACCCCCGTCCCTGTCTCCCCCGGCCCCGTCCCGCTGCCCCCGGCCGGGAGTTACCTGCAGCGGGGCGGCGGGGGCGGCCGGACCGACGGGGAGGACGGGGCCTCGGGCTGCCAGCTCCTGCCAGTCGCGGGTGCTGAGCGCTGGGGACAGCGAGAGAGGGCGGTGAGGACGAGATGGGGGCCGGGGGCAGCGGGGCCGGGACGCTGCGGGCGGACTCACCGGGGGCCGGGCCGGCGGGGGCCGTCGGGGCGGCGGCCGCGGGGCCGCGGCGGGGCCGGGGCCCGGCCGGGGAGATCCGCGCCGGCTTTTTGGCCAGGCGGGCGGCCGGGCCCTGCACCCGGTTGGGGCAGATGCTGCCGAAAGCCCGGCGGCCGCCCGGCTCCATCGCGGCCGCTCAGCCGACGGCCGGCCCGGGCTCCGCGCCCCGCTCGGCGCCGCCCCGAGGGTGCGGGCGGGCCGCGGGGGGACGGGGGGACGGGGCCGGGCCGCGGGGTGCCCGCCCGGCCGCCCGCCTTCCCTCCGGCCCGGCGCGGAAACCTCCCGCGGCCCCGCAGCCCCCCCGGCCCGGCCCCTCCCGGCCCCCCCATTCCCGTCCCGCCGCCGCTCCCGCGCCCGCGGAGCCGCCCGGCACCGGCACCGGCGCTTGTTGGACGGCGCGGCCGGGGCTGCGCGCCCTAAACAGCGGAGGAGGGGCAGGGAAAAGGCGAGCGGAGCGCGGCGGGAAGGCATCCGGCGGTCCTTTGGTGCGGGACAGGCGATAAAATAAAAAAAAACGGGGTGTTTGGGGGCTCTACGTCTCTTCTCTTGGTGCCCCCCCACCCCGTGGCGCAGTGCCTGCTTGGTTAAGTACGAATGGAGACCGGCTGGAGCAAGGAACTATTTCTGCTACTTGCTTTATTGTGTAGTGTTTTCCTTTCTTACACTGTGATGAGTGCACCTTTTTTTCTTTATTTCTCTCTTTTTTTTTTCTTTTTCTTTTTTTTCTTTTTTTTTTCCTTCTTTTCTTTTCCCTTTTTCTTTTCCTTTTCCTTTTTTCTTTTCCTTTTTCCTTTTCCTTTTCCTTTTTATTTTCTTTTCCTTTTTTATTTTTTTTATTTTCCTTTTCCTTTTCTTTTCCTTTTTTATTTTTTTATTTTCCTTTTCATTTTTTATTCCTTTTTTTCTTTTTTTTCCCTTTTCCTTTTTTTTTTTCTCTTTTCCCCCTTTCTTTTCTTTTTCTTTCCTTTTTTTTTTTTTCTTTTTTCTTTTTTTCTTTTTTTTCTAGAACCATTACCAAGCCAGTGCACACCGTATGAAATGGAGAGTGATGCCAGCGGGCTTAACTGCTAATTAACTGCAGGGAATTGATTGCTGGGTTGATCTCTCCCTGTGCCCACGTATTTCCACACACACACACCCCAGAAGCGCACGCACCCCGCGAGCAGACAAACAGCCGCAGGAGGTAAGTGGGAGAGGAGTTTATTTCGCGTCCCTGCGGCTCTCCCCCCCGCAGCCAGGGGCACTTCTGCGCCACGTCGGGCGGCAGCACCATGGGCAGGGACTGCCCGTTGAGGGCCACCAGGAGCTGCAGCTCGGCCATGCAGCCCCGCAGCAGCCCCTCCCGGTAGCCACTGACCCGCAGGTCCAGCGGGCGGCGGTGCCGCAGCAGGCGGTCTGCCAGCCCCAGGCTGCCGGCGGCCAGCAGCGACGGGGCGTACTTGGTGAAGGCGTAGTCGGCCAGGCTCAGCTCCGCCACCCCCCGGGCCAAAATCCCGGCGTCGGAGGCTTCCCCGGCGTCGGCCCCCGGCTCCTCCATCCGCACCCGGGTGAAGTGCTCCAGGAAGAAGCTGACGGTGGGCGCCGCCAGGCTGAAGCCCAGCTTGTGCAGGACGATGCACTCCAGGTTGCAGAGCTGCTGGCGGCTGAAGGCGTCGCAGCAGAGGGCGAGGAGCTGCTTGACGCTGGGCGGGTGCACCTCCACCTGCGGGGGAACGGGAGAGGGGCTGCCAGGGGGCGAAGGGGCGGCCGGGACCCCCCCAAAATAAAAGTCTGGGGCTCTGCGCCGTACCTGCTTGCAGGCGATGAGCAGCGCCGTCACCCCCAGGAGCTGGAAGCAGTCGGCGGCCACCGGGGTGGTGGCGAGGAAGCGGTCGAGGGTGTTGACGGCCAGGCAGAGCGCCTCGAAGGAGACCCCCAGGTGGCGGTGCACGGGGATGAGCCAGCTCACCAGCTTGCAGCGAGCCTCCGCCGTCACCTGCCGCGACCGGGAGAGACCAGAGGGGACGCGATGGACGGGACGGGACGGGATGGAAGAAGGGGATGGACGGGACAGGAGGGGACGGGATGGACGGGAGAGGATGGAAGGGACGGGATGGATGGGAGAGGAGAGGATGGGACGGGATGGATGGGACGGACGACCCCCACCTGCGGCTGCCGGGCGAGCGGCTCCCGGGGCTGGAAGCGGCTCTCCAGCCCCTTTCGGGAGCGGTACCAGCTCTCCCCGTAGTCGCGGAAAGCCTGCAGCTCCAGCCGGCTCTCCCCGGCCGCCTCCTTCTCCTCCGGCCGCCGCCGCCGCCACCTCCGGTCGGGTCTCGGCGGGCAGGAGCCGAGCCCGGAGCCGAGCCCGAGCTGCGGGGTCCCCCCGCGCCCCCCGCCCGCCGCTTCCACCATGGGGGCGGCCGCGCTGCCGCCGCCGGGCCGGTATTTGAGCCAAGGGGGCGGCGGGGGCGGCGCCGGTCTCCAAAACACAACGATCGCACCGCGGGGATGCGGCGGGGCCGGGAGGAGCAGGGCAGCGGCTGGAGCCAGCCCCAGCCCCAGCCCCTTTGGCACTTTGTGTTTTTACACTTTGTGCTTGGGCCCTACCGAAAGGGACGGTCTCACGGGGAGCGGTGGCTGCTTTAGGTCACGCTGCACTGGAAGCAAATGAATGGGATGAGACCAGGAAGCACAGCACAAGTGAAAAAGGAGAAAAATAAAAAAATAAGAGTGCTTCAGTTCTCGATTCTTACCGACTGCTTACATCAGGGAGCACTATTTTAGACAGGTGAAGGGAGGGAAATCAAAGCGTTCCTCTAGTCCGACCCCTGGTTTACACAGCAGAGCTGAGGCCAGACATGGCAATTTTATCAGATATGGTCACACGATTCAGTGATTGCAAAGGGTAAGTAGAAGGAAATGCCCCTGGGTCAAAGCAGACTGAAGAAGTCAATAGGAAATGGTGAAGAGGGATTCAAGCAGCCCACAAACACAAGGGCAAAAGGGAAGAGAAGACAGGAGCAACACAGCTTACGGGACGGGAGCAGGAAACACTCAGAGGACGTACCCAGACCGAGAGGACTTGGTGCCTCTGGCACAAAGCACATTCCCCAGAGCACTGCAGCAAGAAACAGACACGGATACCAGCTCTGTGTCCGACACGCTTCAAGAAGAGTGACACAAGTGTATTAAAAGAAGTGTTTATTAAATAAAGGGAACAGAGGAGAAAGTTCATCCATCCAGGAGAATACAGGCACAAAAGCTGCTCGCATACACTGCAGAAACAGAAAGCCACTGTGGTCTTTTTCTATCCCCATGTAAATTTTATGATAACTGTGCTTATCTATACACCACAGTTTGACCTGTTTCATCAGTTTTGCAGAAAACTGTTGGCCACTTAGGACAGTAACCAGTGCCCTAGTTACTACAATAAAACCCTTAGAAAATGAAAAAAAAAAAAGATATTTCTGTAAAAGATTACAGAGCAGGGCATGCCTCAGAAACACAAAGAATACCTCTGAACTTCAACATTAACATACATCTATGAAATTGAAAAAATATATTCACCATGGTTAAGTAAGGGAGAAAATCCTCAAGGAAAATCAATGCTCTCATCACTAGGATTTAGCCATTTTATGACACTGATTTATGTGTGAAGTTCAAATCCAAAAGAAACAGGAGCCCAACAGTTCTCCAACTACTGAAATCTATCTCCAATTCATATTTCTAAGGATAGAAAAAAATACCTCAACTAGAACAAGAACTAGGAAATCATTCACTTTAAATTTGGCTAGCTGGGATGCAGATTTATTTTTCATCTTCAAGGAATGCAATTTATTTTTATTATTTTTAATATCTGCACCTCTACTACAAAAGAAAAACATGCCTAGGAATGGTGTATAAAACTGAGGTTTTAAAGATCAAACTTATCTGTTTAAGTGCTTCCTTCTCTAAGTGCTGGATACTTTGCAATTAAAAAAAAAAAAGCACTCCCCCTCTTTTCTAGGTAAGCTGGACTATGACTAGTTTATCACAATTCTTAAAACGATAGCAGATGTGATTATTACTTTTCCCTCAGAGGCCCTAGGAAACTATTAGAAGAACTTGCCTCCTTGCCGTGTCGAGCGTACGCTAGCATTCACAGGCTAGTTTTACTTTCATCTTACGGTTTCCTTTTGGAGCAGCAGCACTAGTTCTGCTATTAATCATTTAACTGGGTATCTCCGTATGCTTTGCTTGGTCTATTTCAAGATCATGCAGTTCCCTCATTGTCCTTTTTTGTACACTACTCACCTCTGCTGCACAGTATTTGTTCTTTCCAGATGAAAAAATCTTCTGCACTATGTCTGTACATACGGAGTTTCTCTGTTTGACTGCAATTGTTGCATGGCAAAAAAGTAAGAAAAACAACTTCCCCATTCTGAAAGCTGTTTGTGATCTGAAAATTTTAATTTATTGTTGTAAACAGTGTAAGAGAACCTTACACTGTTCATTAAGTTACCTGGTTATGAGCTACTCATTATAAAAAAAAATAACAAAGGTAGTGGTAAGTTAAACACACAGATGCACAAACAATAAGGAGCAAGTGATACAGAGAATAATGAAGACGTGGAATCTTCAGCTACTGATTTTTCAGCCATTTAAGGAACTGCTCCAATGTAACTGTGAGGAGAGTCAACCTGAACTTTAAAGAGCGAGGGGTAAACACAATCATCGTGAGTAGTATGAGATAGTTGAGGGGGCTTGTGAGACTATGCAAAGCTTATGACAGGATGTGTGAGGAGGCTCGTGGGAGAGCAAAGCTTATTGCAGTACCCTGGGTGAAGGGTCTAAGGCAGGAAAAAACAAGATCGGGGTGAATGGGGAGAAGCAAGTGTGAGAAGACACAGAGAAGGGGGAGGACAGGCTGCTGGCCAGTACTCATGTTTGGCTGAGCCCTGCACCTGGTCAGGGTAGTCTGCTCTATCCTCTTATTACAGCATTTTCTTAATGTAAACCATACAGAAAAATTAAGATATCTGTAAGATGTATTGCTTCCATACTGCAAATTCATAGCTCAAAAAAAAGCACACTTCAGAAACCAACATGATGAATGTCTTTTGTTTGCATCTATCTTACAGAGTTCTACCCCACTGAGATTCAGGACACAGTCTTGAACTATCAGAACAGTCTGCATCACCATTAATGGTATGATTAGTACATTAAGCAGAAACAAAGAAAACTGGATTTGGCCACAACCATTTTTATATTGAAAATAAACTACTTCCATCATTTATACATTCAGACAAATGGCACTGATGTAAAGGCTAAACACATCCCACATTCATCTTTCAAAATGATATAGGAAGGTAAATCATATCCAGAAATCATGCAGTCTTCCTTTGTCATGGCTGGTATCAACCACACTAAGTATTCAGATACTTTCAGTTAGTGTTGGAGTGTGTGTTTCTCCTGACATTACCAAAGCTATGGTTTGTTACTGATGTCCAGTATCAGTTACCATTCTCTGTTTTTATCAGTTCTTTGATGATATGTAAGACCTTATCATCTAGGAAAGAGAACACAAACAACAGTAAGCCAAAAAGAGTGAGCGTAAAAACAGATTCCCCCATAAATCCAAGAAAAATCAAAAGATGAATCAATCTAGCTATTAGCAAATTATGGTGGACTCCAAAGTAACACAAGTAATTCCCATTTGTGGAGCAAAAGAGCAAATTATGTCCAAAGCATGTGATTAGAAAGTCTATAAAAATATTCTGTGAGCTTCTTTTTGGCAGTTTCAGTATTTCACAGAAGAAATGGAGAAAGTGACAGTGTAACCTTTAGACATATTAGGATATTAGCACTTGCTGCCTTTTGTTCAGTGTTGTGTTCAAAGCTTTAACTGTGCTCCTCCACCCTTTACTGCAGGGGGCCAACATGAAGCTCCCCATCGTTATTCTAAATTGTGAGACAACTCACCTGACACTTTAATTCATCCATACCTGAGGCTCACCATTATACCATGTTATTTCGGTTTTGGGAAGTTACCTCACCATTTACTAACACTACCTTGAATGTTATTATCAGGGTTATGTTTAAAACCAAAGTCGTGCACATCATCATACATCTGGGATGAGCTGTATACTATCAGTAATGACCTTTCCAAATTATTTCTCTCAAGATAATGGAATTACAGTCAAGTTACACTAATCCTGCTGAGTGCAGAGGCAGCATACTAATACTTTCTTCAGTCAACCACAACGTTCACGTAACAAATACTACATCAGCAATGCAGCAATAAAGTTACCTTCAAGTGACATTTTAGGATTTTCAAGCTTCTTCTTTAAAACAGACTCAATGAGAACTCTCAGTTGTTTGAAAATTACTGCAATCTTTACAGGAGCCTGTAAAGAACAGAGAAGAAACATTTTCACTGCTCTTGAAGACGTCTTATACAAAAGCATGGATTAAAACTTTACCTCATATATAAATTAATGTTTGTAGAAATATAGCTTTAAACCTCAGGTATATGCAAGACTGCAGAGAAGGGCAATATATAATAGCACACTCATCTACTTTCAGTACCAGCTCCATGAAAGCAAGGTTTAGCTTACACCCATTTCAAATACCTTCTCTGAAAGAACACTGACTTTTCTCCTGAAAAGAGGGAACTGACATGTTACAAGCTGCACATGTCTAGACTATTCTTTCTAGAGTGACTTGCAAAGATTTTATTACATGTATATAAAATTCCCATCGTTCCCTTAAATTCTCATTCATCCCACATGAATAGTGTTCTAAAGCAAGGCAGGATATTAACCGTGTAACACAAAAGTCCATAAAAGGCAGTTACCACTCCAACGCACCTGAAAATGGATCCAACCATCAACCATCAGGAGACGCTCCCGATGCTGGACTTCTATATCCCCACCAAAAAGCAAAATGGGAAAGGGGGATATCAAAGTAGTCTCTCTCAAATACACCTTAGCATACCTCACCTGTGTATAAACAAATACGAGCATTAAAAACAAACAAAAAATCCCTAAGATCTACAACATCAAATTTCAGTGCTGCTTTTAAAAGCAGGAATTTTTTTTTTTTTCCTTTAATAACCAGGTCAAACCAAATTATTGTACACAGAACAGCTAGTAGCAATTTGTCTGCTCTGTACCCCAGATGACATCACATTTAAACCCTCCTAAGTGACAGGCTATCAGTGACATATTATCAGGAAATTAGCTAAAGACATATATTCTTGCTTAAATTTAAGTTTAATCTCTCTCTTCTGGTTAAGACTAGAAGCACTGGGATAACATTTTCTTTCTATTTAATAAACCAAATAAAGTAAAAAGCAGGTAAAACTCTCCATCAGACATTCTTCTCAGCAGCAGCTGACTTACCATTCTGTCTATATCCACATATATACATGCATAAATGAGAGTACATCGGTGGACACATACAGAAAGTAAACAGTGGGGCTAGACTTAGTGTGTGTTATTTCTGGCTTTGGAGCCTCTCGCAAACCGACATGGAATGTGATGGGAGAGAAGCTCTAATATGACAAATAGAAACAAAAGGGTGTACCTTCACACAGAAGAGTAAACTTTGTTCATTCCCCTGTTCATGGAATAACTGATTAGCCTTAGCTGCTGCCTTGCCTTGAACTACAAAGTTCTTGGAGGCATGAAATACTTTCAGCTTACCAAAAAAATACGATTACTTCGTATATATCAAGAATTCCAAAGTAATGTCCTGCTCCCCTTCAGTGAAGCTGGCCATTAGGCAACTGCTATCATGTTTAACTCACTTCAGCAAAGAGATGACAAAATTTTGAGTTGGAATGTGGAAGAAAGTGGCAGGGGAAAAAAAATAAAAATAAAACCCTGCAATTCAGTTAGGAAGTTCAGCAGTCAATTACAGAATTAGCTATTTCATTTTACGTTGTTATTGAGGATGAGTCAGACCTGTAGGAAGCTTCAACACCTTTGAGTCTGCTTAGAACAGTGAAAAGCACACTGAAGTGCAACACAAGCATATGAGTGTGTCAAAGTGTTCATATTTAAGTTAAT